CAAATCCAATCAACTTCTCATCTCTAAAATCTACAAGATACTGCAAAATCTCAACAACAAAAAGACAAATAACTCAGTTAAAAAATGGGCAAAGATATGAACAAACTTCGCCAAAGAAGGCATTCAGGCGGCTAACAGACACATGAGGAAATGCTCACAATCATTAGCCATTAGAGAAAGGCAAATCAAAACTACAACGAGATACCATCTCACCCCAACAAGGCTAGCATTAATCCAAAAAACACAAAATAATAAATGTTGGAGAGGTGGTGGAGGGACTGCTGGTGGGAATGTAAAATGGTACAACCACTTTGGAAATCAATTTGGTGCTTCCTTAAAAAGCTAGAAATAGAAGTACCATAGATTCCAACTATCCTGCTCCTTGGAATATATCCTAGAGAAATAAAAGCCATCACACGAATAGGTATGTGCACACCCATGTTCACTGCAGCTTTGTTCACCATAGTTAAAAGATGAAAACAACCTAGGAGCCCATCAATGGATGAATGGATAAACCAATTATGGTAGATTCACACAATGGAATACTACGCAATGATAAAGAACAATGATGAATCCGTGAAACATAACATGGAGGAATCTGGAAGGTATTATGCTGAGTGAACTTAGCCACAAAAGGACAAATATTGTATAAGACCACTATTATAAAAATGCAAGAAAAGGTTTAAACACAGAAGACAACATTCTTTGATGGTTACGAGGGTGGGGAGGGAGAGAGAGAGGTATTCACTAACTAAAAAGTAGACAAGAACTATCTTAGGTGAAGGGAAGGACAGCACACACTACAGGGGAAGTCAGCACAAATGGACTAAAAGAAAGCTAAGAAATTTCCTGAATACAACCAAACATGTCAAGGAACAGATAGCAGGGGTAGGGGTCTGGGGACCATGCTTTCAGGGGACATCTAAGTCAATTGGCATAACAAAGTCTTTTAAGAAAATGTTCTGCATCCCACTTTGGTGAGTGGTGTCTGGAGTCTTAAAGCTAGCAAGCAGCTGTCTAAGATACATCAATTGGTCCCAACCCACCTGGAGTAAAGGGGAATGAAGAACACCATGGACACAAGGAAAGTATTAGCCCAAGAGACAGAAAGGGCCACATAAACCAAAGACTTCATCAGCCTGATACCAGAAGAACTAGATGGTGCCTGGCTACCACCGATGACCGCCCCAGCAGGGAACACAACAGAGAGTCCCTGGATGGAGGAGGAGAGAAGTGGAGTGCAGAACTCAAATTCCAGTAAAAAGACCAGATTTAATGGTTTGATTGAGACTGGGGGGACCCTGGAAGATGTGGCCCCCAGGCTCTCTGTTTGCCCAAAACTAAACCCATTTCCGACGCTAACTCTTCAGACAAAGATTAGATTGGACTATGGGACATAAAATGATACTCGTGAAGAGTGTGCTTCTTAGCTCAAGTAGGTACATGAGATTAAATGAGCAGCTCCTGTCCAGAGGCGAGATGAGAGGGCAGAGAGGGTCAGGAGCTGGTTGAATGGACACGGGAAATCTGAGGTGGAAAGGAGGAGTGTGCTGTCACAGTACAGGGAGAGCAAGTAGGGTCCCAAGAAAATGTAGGTATAAATTTTTGTATGAGAGACTAACTTGAATTGTAAACTTACACTTAAAGCACAACAATAAAAAGAAAAAAAAAGCTAATAGTGAAAGTAGACTGAAATCATAAGAAATGCTAAGTTAATCCAAAAGAATTTATAAAGATAAGACTGAGAAAATGCTCTGTATCCGCTGCTATTTTCTGTCATAAAATAGGTACTGATAAGTAGGTAAATTGAGAACATTCACAAGGTATCATTCTTATTTTCTATACACAGAGAGAATTGTGTGGAAATACATAATCTTGTTCTATTTTTCCTTTATCAAAGGGGCGTCTGTAATAAGCACCCAGACTTCAAAGATTGTTACAAACTCCTATGAAATATAATCTTTAACCCTTGCATGTCTTGCAGTTCTCACCACCTCTCTTAATTAATTTGCCACCTCAGCAGTAAAATTTAGACATATCTGCTTTTCAGAAGTTATGAATAATGGTAAGTATCTTTGTTAAGCCAAGCCAGTTGAAGAACTTTAACATTTCTTTCTTTTCCCTTTATGCATAAAGATTTGTTCCTGGGAGAACTGCTCTTTCGAAGTGTTTAAAGGTTTGTCTTTGTGTTGGATATTCTTTAACTCAATACTTGTAGGTTTTTTTTTTTATTAGTATTATTTTTCTGAATTGGTCCTCTGTGAACCATTTTATTCTACTGTGTTATTTTCTAACTTTTTTTTCCTGCCATTTTCTGAGAGAATTCCTCATTCTGATCTCAAACTGTCTAGTTTTTTATCTGTGTTTATCCATTTAATATCCCATTGTCTTAGTCATCTAGTGCTGCTATAACAGAAATACCGCAAGTGGATGGCTTTAACAAAGAAAAGTTTATGTTCTCACAGTCCAGTAGGCTACAAGTCCAAATTCAGGGCATCAGCTCCAGGGAAAGTCCTTCTCTCGCTGTTGGCTCCAGAGGAAGATCCTTATCATCAGTCTTCCCTTGGTCCAAGAGTGTCCCAGCGCAGGAACCTCAGGTCCAAAGGACGTGCTCTGCTCCTGGCACTGCTTTCTTGGTGGTATGAGGTTCCCCTGTCTCTCTGCTCAATTCTCTCTTTTATATCTCAAAAGAGATTGGCTTAAGACGCTACCTAATCTGGTAGACCTCATCAGTATAACTGCCGCTAATCCATCTTATTACATCATAGTGATAGAGTTTACAACACGTAAGGAAATCACATCAGATTACAAAAGAGTGCACAATCATACAATCGTGGAATCATGACTGAGTCAAATCGATACACACATTTTTGGGGGGACATAATTCAATCCATGACACTCATGTATTATGATCTTTATTTTATCTATTATAGACTTGGGGCCCTGGTGCCACAGTGGTCAAGTGTTTGGCTGCTAACCAAAAGGTCAGGAGTTCAAATCCACCAGCCACTCTTGAAAACCCTATGGGGCAGTTCTACTCTGTCCTGTAGAGTTGCTGTGAGTCAGAATCGACTTGACGGCAATGGGTTTGGCTTCTTGGTTTTTATTATGTACTTAAATACACCACATATTTTCATTTGTTCCTTTTTATGTTTTGTTTCAACTTGAATCTTTTATGATCTCTTTAAGTATAGTTTTAAAATTCTTGTTTTGTATCCCTAATAGTACTAATAGTTTACCTTCAGATGGTGTATGCTGTCTAATTGTGATTTTCTTTGGGCATAGTTGTACTCTTCGGGTTTCTAACGATATTTTGTTGGTAGATTCATATTTCCTGGCATGGATTTCAGGAAGGATAGAAGACCCTAGTGTATTAGTTCCAGTGAGTTCAAGGAATAGAGAAGGGATTTCACCCAGAGAGGTGAATTCCAGGCACTACAAAACCCTTAATAACTCCTGTTTGCAGACATTTCATCAAGCAACTCCTCCATCAGAGTTGTATTGTATAACCCTTAAAGAGAAGTAGCATTAGGCTGAAGAAGTTTTCCTAAATGGTCTCCCACAACTCCTGGGGCTTTGGAAGGAGCAAACCAGCAACTTCTCACCTACTAATATACCCTTCCATTCCTGCTTCAAAATTCGAATCTGGGTCATTGCCAATTTCTGCACTGAAGGAACAGGTAATATGGTCCAACAGAGATGTGGAAGAGAGGCAAATGAAGAATTGAAACAGCTTTTCTTAAATGGCCCCAGACTATGGCCCACAACACCCTTGTCCCTCACCCCACATACTGCTTCAGACAGCCCTATATCACCCTTAGGGGTTCTCATGGTTTTATTCGTTCATAGAAATCTAGTTTTAGAATTCCTCCAGGACTGACTTTGGGAGAGAGACACAGAATACTGTGGTACTTCTCTATCCCATAGGAACCAAATAGAGCTCCTTCTGTTCTCATATCCTATGAATTTGTGTAATAAGAAGAGAGTTTACCATCCCCAAATCAGCCATCAAATCCCAAGACTTAGGCAAGGAATCTGTCATTTCTTACTTATATGATCTTGGCAAGTGATATAATCTCTTTATGACTCAATTTCCCTAAATATTGATCATCAAGTGATCATAACCTAAGCTGCTCATCATTAATTGGTTTTTTTCTGGGTCATCAGGCCATAAGTTTGGGCATGTGCGCTAGCAGTCTATGATCCAGTGGAAATGATAAATAACAGCACAAAGAAGTCGGTGAGCAGGCAGTACTTCTGCTCCATTGCCTCCTGTCCTATATGATAGACCTATGGTCTCTTGGTTTGTTTCTTATGACCAATTCAATTGATGAGGAGAAACTGGGGTTTATAGATGGATATTCTGGCAACAAATATCATCATGCCTCCCCAAGTGTTTTCCAGGGAAGCAGTTTGCCGGCATCCTCTCTAAAACCCCATAGATTCCGCCTTCTTCTCTTCTTCTCCAACCCCCAGTGCTAAAGAGGGTCTCATTCTAGAAAGAAAAACCCTTCTCTCTTCCTGGTTCTGATGCAAATTCCTTTCTACTTCCTAACCTTCCCCTCACTCTGGATTAGAATTCCTAAACAAAATACAGGAAGACTCAAGACATCTCTTTTCACTCTGCCACATTTCTCCCCAAGAGGCCAGAGTTACATGCTTTAATTGGAGTGGGAAACGAAGAAAAATACAGAGATATGAATATATCTTGCCACAGAAGGAAAGAAAGAAGCAGGAAAAAGAGGAAAATATCTTCATTTGAAATTGAGCTGCCCTCTTTCTTCTTTTCCTGAGCAACTTGGGTATACATTGAAGGCTGTAGGTTTTGTAACAGTCTGCAGGATATATTGATCCTGTTCTCTTTAACAGGTGAAGACAGAGAAGCTACAAAAGGAGAGGACCTTTTCTTCCACATGCAGAGGGCAGAGCCAGGTGCTTGCAGTCCTCCTTTGTAGTATGTTTTTGTAGGAAGCCATTGTGAAGAGGCCCAGGCAGCAAGGTCACCCACGGTTTGTCAAGTTTTCATTGCACAGGTTAAAGCTCCTGCAGCATCTGAATGCTACCATATAGGTACTCCACTTTATCTTTTCAACTTCAGCACAGTTCTTTTGGCAGCCCATGAAGGTTAACCAGTGTGACCATAAATGTCCGTTTTCTGAGAAAGGGTGGAGAAACAGATCAGGCAGTCTGGACCTGAGACCTCTGCAAGGAAGCCTTGAATAGTTCGAGGCTCTCTAAGTGAAATGTGAAGGACTGGAAGATGTGGCAAGTTGGGCGCTTCCCAAAAGAAGAGCATTGGCAGAACCCCTTAAAAAATCTCATGGAGAGGGATGCGGAGGTAATGAGAGCAGCAATTCAGGGAATCCCAAGGCTTAATTCTTCAATGGAGAACCTAAACCCTTGTTTAATCAAAGGCTATAAATGTCAAGGGATCACTGAACATTGAGGCTGGGAAGATAGGAAAGTCTTGATGCTTAGTCTTACTTATCAAGGGCCATATAGCTAGTTCCTACTGCTGACACTGGTCCTTCGATTTCCTCAGTTTAGAACTATCGGTAAGTGATTCCAGGCAGGCATCAAGACTATGAGCTCCACTCTGCACCCTCAACAAACAGTTGTTCTCCACTGGGTGCAGTGTGGCTCTCCTCTCACCTCAACTGAGTCCCCTCTGTTTCCTTCAGGCTTCCCAAGACACTGGTTCCATAGCCACACCCTTGACCCTTAGTGCCCACCTCCATCTATTTTCCATGTGGTATAGGACTGGGGTGGCAATACCAGTCATCCCAGGAATGACTCTGCCTGTGGTAAACCAAAGTCCTCTCCTCACTATGGCTGATTTGTGTCTGTCGGCTTCCTCTCCCCCTTCCATCTTCCCCGAAGCCAAAACTTACTTCTGTGAATTTTCCCTACTGCACAGGCCTCGTTTTTATCTGCTCTACATATTCCTCTTCCTCGGGAACACTTCTCTCCTGGAAACTGGATGTGACACATCCTACACTCAACAGTGTCCGCCAATTCAGCTAGAGAGCATGGAAATAAAAGTTAGAGTAGACATCAAACTACCTTGAAAGGCCCAATTTCCTCTTTCAGATTTGAAGTTGCCCTGGAGCCCAGAGGGCTTTTCTAGAGCCTTTAGCAGGGCATCTACCTCTATTGAAATAGGCTAGACCAAGAGAGTGACTGAAGTTTATGGTCTCTAGAGTTTTAGCCTGAAAATAGGAGAGGAAAGAACAGTGGAAGGATAATAGAAAGAGGAAAAAAATCAGGACTGAGATGATCAGAGCAGACCTTGTTCGTACTCACGAGAATCTTGCTGTTTTTCAACTACTTTTTATTGCTGGCAAAGATAAATGGAATAAGCCTCCAGTTTTGTCTGAGATTTGACCCCTGCTTAGGGCCCTGGTCATCTCCCCTTTAGAATCCATCTTATATCCTTAACTTGGAGTCATTCCAAGCCCTTTCTGTCCCTCCAAAGCTTAGTCACCCATCTCATGGCATCTCTGCACCTCTTCCCTCCTTCCATGCAATACTCTTCACCTCGTTAGGGACTCTCAGACTCCCCTATCCTTCCTTACAACATGAACCCAAAGGATAAAGACAAATGTACATGTGTTTGGACCCTCATGTCCTTCATTTTAATTGATCCTATGTGGCATTCTTACCTGCATGTGCCTGAAGGCTGACAATGGGAACATACACCTGAAATTCATGACATTTCTACACTTAGGACACGGCCAGGTAGGGCCTGTTAAGTCGTTGTTCCACTTCCTCCTTTCCTTTTTTCTTACCCTTCTTCACACCCACTGCTAGCCTTATCAGATGCTTTCATCTTTTCTTGTCAAACCTAAGATCAGCTCTCATCCCAGCCCCATTGTTCTGGGATTGAGGATATTGAGTACTGAATTTCACGTTTTCTCTCTTGGTTCCCTTCAACCTGTAATGCCCACCACACCCAATGCCCCACTTTCCTCCCGTCCCCCTCCCCCTCCCCCTCATCCCCAATGCTGATCCATTTCTACTCACCTGGGAGAACTCGTTTTAGAAATGATCCAGAGAACACTACGGGGAAAAAGAAAGATACATTCTTGATTACCATATTTTCCAAACTCCATCTCACAGCTTCTATGGAAATTCTCTCCAGGCCCTCTGGAATCTACTTATTTCCTCCTACAATGGGAGGGCTAAAGGCTTTGATGAAGGTTCCAGAGACATGACACATTGTGCATGGAAGGCATGGACTTAGAAAGACAGCTCATCATGCTTCTGTTACTATATGGCTCCCTCAAGAAGATCCTCTGTTACAGGAGCCCTGACCCATTCCAGGACCCTGGACACGTTTCACCAACTGTCCACCCCAGGAGCTTACGAGGAAAGCAGAAGAGAAAGGTGGAGAATCCTAGCAGGAGGAACTTGTCCATTTTGGAGGAAGAGAGAACCAGGTTAGGGCAGGAAGCTGCAACAGGTGCCTATTTATACACCTACCAGGTTGGGCTTCACCAGAAAGGGCTAGGGGTGGGGACAAAGTAGAAGTCCTACAAAGGCATACCTTGCTCCTATAAAAACAGTGACTCTATAATTTCTCTTCTTGGCAACTCAGGGAGAGGAGAGGCTGGTAGTCCCGGGCCTATTGAGTCCAGTCTTACCACTAGAGATTTTTGACGCTGAGTTCTATGGTTTTTCCATGACAGCACAATGTGGGAGAACTCAGGGCTGAGGTGTTCACTAAAGCTGAGAGAATCTATGAGTGCACCTAACTGGAATGCAGAAAGGTAGGAAGAATCCTGTGCACAGAGCCTGAAAAAAATGCAAACCTATAGGGAATGGAGATGAGGAGGAGGTGGAAAGTTTAGATGTGGATGGAGGATTCTCATGATAGGAGTAAGATTCCCACTGCCAATCATCTTTGAAAGCAGCGAACCCAGGGAAGAAAGAGGAGAACTGAGGTGATGGGTCTTAGACTGGGTGAGTAGGGAACTGGTCCCCTTTCTTGGAGTTTTCTGGTGGCTGAGACTTGGACTTTTGGTTAGAAGAGAGGGTTGAGATGACTGTACTGGAGGGAGGTAAGCAGGTCCTCCCCACCTGATGTCAGGCTAAGTAAGAATGAGGCAGGAAGGTGGCTAAACGTGCAGAAGATTGAGCCTGTGAATTCTAAGAACAGTCATATTGAGTATCTCATTCCAAAATTTCTGTTAGTTGTAGTCACTTATTCCCAAGCCATCAGTAAATTGTAGTGAACTTTGCAGCTTCGTCTCTGCTGTCATTGGAGGGAACTGAGGGAAGGATCTGTACCCGTGGTGAGGGTGAACAATGCAGGATCAGCAGCACCTGAAAGGAAGCAGATTACAAAAGGGCACAATGTTGTCTTCAGCCAAGCAGGGTGGTGGATTAGCCCGATGCAGGCTGAACTGGCGGGGCCCAAATAAGCGTGACATGTGGAATGTTTAAACATCATCACAAGAGGTCTGGAAGCAGTTGGGTGGGAGGAAAAATTGGATTTTCTTTCGTCATATCTGATGGGGGATAAAACTATTGCACTTTGAGCCTTTCAAAGAGGTATACTTTTATTTTTTATTCTCAAGATGATGAAGCTGAGATATGGGGTTACATAAGATTGTCATACGTATTCTGAGTCGTATTGGAATCTTCCAGAGAGCAGACACTGTTTCTTATAGTTTTTCACATAATTCAAGGGACTGACGTTGTAGGTGTTTGCTCAGAACTGGATGGTTTTTATTTATGCATTCATGTGTTCATACAAAAAGCATGTGGAAGACGTTTAAGATGTGCCAGCCATTGAAGCAGACATCGGGAACTAGAAGAATAAGATGGTTGTTTGTGGAAGAGACTTTCTCTATAATACTTTGGGGGTTATTGTTGTTGTTAGTTGCCATTGAGTCTGTATGCCAAAAGAGCAGATTGACATTTCGTTCCGGGAAGGAGAGGTACACATTAGTTATCGGCTTAACTAGAATATCAGCTACCCTAGTGAAGCTTTCAAATGACACATTAAGTACTCATGTATTACTTAAACACACACACACACACGTGTTCACCCCAAATGGTGTCATATTGATTTTTTTTCCTCTGCATACTCACTCACCATTCTCTCTGTCTCTTCCCTCCTCTCCTCCCCCTCCTGCCCTGACATTTAGCATCTTTTCTGTGTCTTTACATTCCCCACCCCTACTTTTTGAGGCCTCCCCTTGTTTCCTTACAGGATTTCTAAATTTAATTCCTTAGCTAATGGTAGCTCACAAACAGAAAGGAAAAAGGTTCTGTTCCCTCCCCCCATACTAAAGAATCATAAGCTGGCCCCTCATCTAACTACACTCCTATGTATTATTACACCACTTCTCCTAATGCAGAAATTTCCTCCTCCCAGATGTATCCATCTGCCTGGACTCCTTGCCTGTATTTGAACGCTATTTTATTGACTTACTTTTCTCTTCAAATCTCTTCAATTTCATACTCCTGAATATCCCTAAGGGACCATTAATGCTTGATTTTCTTACTGGCCCAAACCCTCTTCCTTTTCTGAGTGCCCCTAGTAGTTTTTCTTATCCTCTTAGGACACCCCAAAATCATTATTCGTATGTCATAAATTCCACACCCATGACTTAAAAAGTACCCAGGAATCCCTTTTGCCTATTGCTCCAACCCTAACTCAGTCTGGGTGGTCCTTCACTTTTAGCTCTCCTCTCTCCACCACAGAGTTCTGGAGGCACAGTTAGTACAAAAAGTCACCTCAGGGGTGACTTCAGTACTGAAGTAAAAGGGTGTCTGAGGGCCATACTCATGGGGTTTCTCCAGTGTTTGTCAGGCCAGTAAGTCTGGTCTTTTTTTATGAGTTATAATTTTGTTCTACATTTTCCTCCAGCTCTGTCCAGGACCCTCTACTGTGATCCCTGTCAGAGAAGTTAGTGGTGGTAGCTGGGCACCATCTAGTTGTACTGGACTCAGTCTGGTGGAGACCGTGGTAGTTGTGGTCCATTAGCCCTTTGGACTGATCTTTCCCTTGTGTCCTTAGTTTTCTTCTCTCTTGATTGTTTGAACAGCAATTTTTAATGCCTTTGCATCTCCACCGCTTACGTGCTCCGCCAGTGACCTGCTCTGCACATCTGCAAAGTTAGCTAAACTCCTGACTCACAGTTAGGTACTTAATTGTTATTTTATGTGTATAATTAGAAAATGGTTACAGTAGAGTTTTTAGTTTGCATCTCCAATGTTAACATAGAAATGATTTAAAAAGTTTCTTGAGTGGAAATTCACTTTTCAACCAGTTATTATTTTTGAAAGAAACAGATCTACTCTTCACAGGGAATACAGCAAAATATCCTGAGATTCGTAGGTAATCTACATACTTTCGCACAATAACCTTTTTCAATAGGTTAATGGGGCTGGTGTCAACCACCAGGATTTGAGGAAAGAGATCTCAGCTTAGGTAGATTCTACATGTGATGAGGAAGGTAAACAAGATGAAGAACCCCAGTTTCTGTTCCTTTGAAGCACCAACGGCATCTGGCTCCTGGTGTTTCTCCAATGTCCATAGGCCTTATACTTAGCAAGGAAAAGAACAGTTTCTTCCAGAACAAGGTTGAACGATCAGGTCAGAAACACCTGTCTCTTTTTCTTCAGAAGAGTGAGCGGCACCGCTCTGGGTCACTGGGAATAGACAGACCGGAGAAGTTTCGCCATCTTCAGGGCAGTGAAAGATAAAGGAAGTATCATAGAATATGTGCAGATTCCAGGAAGAGCACAAAAGAAGTGTCTCTGGTGAGCCTTTCTGTGTGTCTTCTCTCCTACCAGCTACCAGGAGACTTGCCATCCCCTAGGATTTTCTGGGAATGTCTCGCAATTGTTCAGTATGTCCCAAATTGCATAGATAGTTCCTTTCTACTCTGCTTAGGAATGGAAAAGATAACATAAACATTGAAATGGCTAAGGAGGCACGGCTAGTATTTCAACTGCAAAGAAGTAGCCTACAACTTATCCATCTTTCCTGTTACTGCCTGTAGCTTAAATATAACTTCCTGAACTTTGAATACACTGCGTTTGCAAGTCTAACTATCACCCTAAGAACTGACCTCAGCAAGAAATTAGCTACAGACTCCTCCAGTACTTTCCATGGTAAATTGACCAGCACGTGAATGTCAAAGAGACCTCTTTACAAAACGCCAGCACCCGCCGAGTGGCACGTGGCCTCTGCATCTCTGAGTTCACTCCATTCTTTGTCAATGTCAGTCTCCAGACTGTAAAAGTAATCTCTCTGAATTCAGAGAGGTCATCCCTGAAGCACTTAGCTAAGACTTCTCCTTGTTACTTCCTGTGTGTGTGTGTCTAAGTGTGGACTTGTTGTGTTTGTGATACATAATACACCTACTGAAAAGAACATAAAACATAAGTACACCCACTCCTCACTTGTCAACATGGTTAGACTCCAAAGACCAGGTCGTTATGCATTATTGGCTCAGCTTGAGTACTTCCCAAACTTGCTGTGAATAGTTAATAAGATGCGCAAGGCGCTCAGCACAGTGCCAGGTAAGACTAGGGTTCTCAACTCCAGATGAAAACTCTGCAAATGTGGTTCTATCACCAGATTATAAACTCCATACACCATTCTGCTTTACTCTGCTTTTCACTCTACCGCTAGACTTCAACGGACAATTTCACACCAGTTTTCACATCCTGGGACTACCTTCGACTCTTCCCCAAGTCCATTAAATGGACTAATAATATTAGTTATATGCCAGGAACTGTTCCAATGGCTTTACACATATTAACTCATTTAGTCATCACAATAACTTTATGATGTAGATACTATTATTATCTCCATTTTACATCTGAGGGGAATTGAACCTCAGAGAAGCTGAGAACTCTGCTGGAATAAAAATCCCTGAAGCCTTCATCCCTTTGGATCTCTGGTGTTATCAATTAATAAATCTCTTGATTTATTTTTATTGTACTTTAGATGAAGGTTTACAGAACAAACTAGCTTCTCATTAAACAATTATTATGCTTATTGTTTTATGACATTGGTTAACAACCCCACAACATGTCAACCCTCTCCCTTCTTGACCTTGGGTTCCCTATTACCAGCTTTCCTGTCCCTTCCTGCCTTCTAGTTTTTGCACCTAGACTGGTGTGCCCCTTCAGTCTTGTTTTGTTTTATGGGCCTGTCTAATCTTTGGCTAAAGGGTAAACCTCAGGGGTGACTTCAGTACTGAACTAAAAGGGTGTCTGAGGGCCATACTCATGGGGTTTCTCCAGTGTTTGTCAGGCCAGTAAGTCTGGTCTTTTTTTATGAGTTATAATTTTGTTCTACATTTTCCTCCAGCTCTGTCCAGGACCCTCTATTGTGATCCCTGTCAGAGAAGTTAGTGGTGGTAGCTGGGCACCATCTAGTTGTACTGGACTCAGTCTGGTGGAGACCGTGGTAGTTGTGGTCCATTAGCCCTTTGGACTGATCTTTCCCTTGTGTCCTTAGTTTTCTTCTCTCTTGATTGTTTGAACAGCAATTTTTAATGCCTTTGCATCTCCACCGCTTACGTGCTCCGCCAGTGACCTGCTCTGCACATCTGCAAAGTTAGCTAAACTCCTGACTCACAGTTTCTTCCTCTGTAAAAAGGGAGATAATAAGCTTTATGTTGCATGATTGTCAATGAGGGTTTATGTGATGATGTGTAAAGTGGTCAGCCCAGTATTTGGCACACTGTTGATAAGAAACAGCAAACAGCATGTGTTGAATACTTACCCAATAGCTATGAACTCTTTCCATTCTCACATCAACAGTGTGAAGTCAGATGTGACAGCTGTGGTACAGAAAATCTAAGTTGTCTGTCCAAGATCATTGGAGTTGGTAAGAGAGAGTGGTGGGATTCAAACTCAGGCCATCCCTTCAGAATTGGTTTTCTTAAGTACATCATACAATGACCAGCAATTTCTCCTCCCAAATGCCCTCAAAGAGCCCCAAGAAGGCAGAGGATCCCCTTGTGGAAAGCCAGGCCTCCTTTTTGGACACTCTGTGTCTGGGACTGCCCCCTCACCCCCAGGATTGGAGTGTCTGGATCTTGATGTATGTCCAGGAAAGAATGAGTATAATGCAGTCTGGAGGAAGACTTCTACACATCAGCTCAGTATCTCAGGCAAAATTTATGCTGTGGGCAGGACTGAACGGAACTGTGTCTTTCACTGACAAACTGTTGCAGTAGCTTTGATTGCAACAGAGGAACACGTTTTTCTCCCACTTGGTGATGGCAACATATTCCACACATCTTTTTGGACACTTCAGGATGGAATATTGGTACAGGTATGCTGACAAGGGTGGAAGAAAAGCACATATAGGCCCCAGGTTAGAACTGGAATGTGACAGGGAATGTGGCTTAGTGAGCAGTCCCTCCCCTCCCTCAGGTCCCCTTTGGCTGAATCTGAGACTTGAAGACCCTGCCACAAAAGAGGCCTTCTCTATACAGGGCAGCTCACCACCCCACCCCCGCAACACCCACATACATTTACAGCAGAGGAGCCGTAACAGTCATACACTGTTAGGGACCTGGTCATTGACTATCAGAGATGGATGGGAGTTTGGAGGTCATCTATTAAAACTCAATTGTGGTACAGATGGGAAATTTGGAACTCAGAGAGGGGAAATAACATGCCCACAACCCAAGACCATCAGAGCTAGAGAAACTAAGAATTGTGACTCTAGATCTAGTGCTCCTTTTTCCCCAGGCCAAATCTTAACATTGAAACTCCCAGCCCTTCTTCCTCTCCTGCCCCCATCTTACCTCCGGTGAAATATTTAGCATACACTTCTTTGGTCTGGCATGCAAAGTCTGGATATTTGGATGGACAGGAACCCAAATTCTTTCTGCAGGTCTTTCCAACAAATTCATCACAGGAGGTGCAAATTGTAGATCCCCTTGTAGAATCTGGACTTTATGTCAGAGCCATGGAATGAGACCAGGAGATGCCAAGTGGTAGGGGGAAGAGAGAAGGGACACAATGAAGGTGTCTGGATTGATGCTGGGGTCCTAGACTCTCCACCACCCCAGTCAGTCCTTGAGACCTATGGTGACTTTCTCTTCCAGGGGTGTCTCTCCCTGCAGAACCCAGGTCTATAAGGGAATCAGGATTAGGAGTTATGAGATTACCAGGAAGCCCTCTGCCCTCTCTCTTTTCAGGATCAACCTGCAGCTGTGGCTTCTGAAGGAGACTCTGAGATGGACATTTCATGGCTGGTAGGACTAGGCAATGTTGGCTGAGTGAGAAGACCCATGGTCCAATGGAAGGAGGAGGATCTCTCTTCTGAGTTACCTACTCTGATATGGGTTTTAGCTGAGAGAATAGGTACTTTTTCTCTCTAACTTCTTCCTCCATTGACCCCAAAGGATCCTTTATCTCTCTTTCCCCTCAAACCTCCCTCCTCACACCTTTTCTGGGGTTAGAGTTTGGTGGAGCTAATGGATGG